CATTTGTCCCTTTTTCTTTTTTTTCTTTTTTAATCCCTCGCAGCCATTCGAAAACCTAACCTTTCGAATCATTCTCGCATCGAACCGCGAGAAACGGTTAGAACGAGAAAAGAGCAAGGATCGCAACGGTATACCGCGTGCTTTCTGCGATTATCAATCGAAGATTTGCATTCAACTTTCATCTCGAAGACGAGGCTGTGACGACGCTAACTGAATGACCTGAAGGAACCGGAAATGGTACTCGAAAGACGGCGCTCACGACTCGCGATCTAGCAGCAAGATCTCTGTAGCTTTAGAGTAGAATAAATCTGAATATCTGACATACTTAAGTAACAATAAGAAACAAGATTAAAGATCGAGGAGACTCAGGGAACGATTTTATAAAAAAAGAAAAAAAAAAGGACAAATTGTAATCTAGAGGAATAAGATAGATGAAAATCTGATTGATCTTTGGAGTCCTGTTTTCATGTAAACGTCAAGAGACTCGGAGTACGATTTAGGAAACTCGCTCTACCAAAGTTTGAGCGACTTTTGTAATTACAGAGATCTCGAGAAATTACTGAGAGATAATTCGTGGAAAAGTAGAGCTGCGTCGTCTTCGAAACGAGAACAATAATCGATTGGATCCAGAACGATCAATGAAAATAGTATCCGAGGATGGTTTTATGAAATTACGAGATCGCCTCTAAAGGAAGGGAACAAAAAATAGCGAATGTAGTAGGCGGTAGAGGATAAGGTGGTCGATTACGGAAGCGCTTCTCGCGATGCGAAGATTGCGAAAAATCATCAGGCACACGATTAGCAGAGAGATTTACGTTAACACGCGCCGTTAGTTAATCTAATAGGGAGCGTAGTTAAGGATTATGAATGCCATAATAATGACTAACTTCTTGTGGTTGTACTTAAGTCATAACTTTACACTTTACTGTTTACGTTTAAGGCCAATTAAGTATGTAAGTTGCATAATATTTCACTATCGGAGTGTCTTCAAGTTAATTGCTAGGCATTTATTTCTACATCTTCTTTTGTTTTTTTTTTTTTTTTTTTTTTTTCGATGGTTCCCGGTACCGGAAGATTCCGTGACGATAGTCGTCGACCCACTGGACAGAGGCTTAATGAATTCTAATTTTTTTTTTTCCTCCTTTCTTTCTCGTTAAAAGGAAACTTCTTTCTGACAGACGTTGTTCACCTTTCGAACGAACGAGAGTTTGACAAATCACCAGCCATTTGTCACAGCTCCGGTTCGAGGTTCGACGAATATTCTACCTGTTACTCACAGAACAGTGAAATATTAACGAAGTACCCTTCCGACTCTCATTTTTTTAGTCTCGGATAATTATCGAGTAAAAATTCGGACGGGTAATCGATTGGTTTTACAATTTTTTTCTTCAATCTACATTCATTTCTGCGTCCAGCGTTTCGAACAAAATCGACGAAAGCCTGTGACACCCGAGATTGCGTAAAGGAACTGTTTAACAAATTCTTTATCGGAAATCAGGTATCGAGACCGCCTGTCGGTTAATGGTCCTGGCCAGACTGCGCGCTCTGGACCTTGGTCTCACATTTGTGATTATTATTTAAGTAGATTTTAAGCGTACTCTAGGTTAGGCTAGGCTTTTTACAATGTTTCTTTAAAAAATTTTCCTTTTACTCTTATTCTATTATCATCGATGAAATTTTACGAGCGGAAGTAACCAACGAACCATGTCGACGAGACGAGCGTAGTTATAAATATTTGAACAAATAATAATGATGATAGAGCTCGTGAATATTCAAAGAATCGTAAGCGAGATAAGAGTTGTGCATTTATACGATTCGAATATCCCGCTAAGAGTGACCATTTTCCTCTCGATTTCGGAGGAAAGGCAAGATAGAACCGGAAGAGAATTCGATTCAAATGCTGATTTGAAAAATAGTTTCATAATAAGAATACGTTTTAATCTGTCGTAATAGTTGTCACAGTTCTCTGTAACATAAGTTTCACTAGTTGTAATGTTAAGAAGATTCTGGATTCTCATGATAAACATTCTATTTTGCGTAATGAATCCGAGTAAGAAGGCACTCGGTCCCCTTTACGATGGAACTCTGTGCGCTATAATCGTTCGTAAACCGAAAACGAATATTTCGTATATCGACGTTCGCCGAGATTTTGCCAGGAGAACAGATTGCAATGCTGCCAGTGTTTAGCGCGTAAAACTCCCTACTTTTTTCCTTTTTCCACTCGACCATTTTATATGATATAATATCCATATTTTATCCTATACATGACTTTGTCCTTCTTTCCTCGTGTCCTTTCTTTGTTAAGTCTAGTTCTTTACAGGGCATTGGGTGTATCATTGTCCGCGTCTTTATGTTGCGCCTGATTGACGTAAAACGATGTTTCAGCATCACAAGGCGGCACGTCGGTTTTCATCATACGTGTTTTCATGGCGAAATACTCGATGCGTAAGGGTCGAGGATCGTTGTGCCTTCGAATGCACGCGTTCGAATGATACGTTTATCGATCGTAAGAACAGACATCCACTTTGTGATTTCGTAAGCAGTTGTTCAATGTTTTTTTTATACTTTCCTTAATGCTTATCTAGGATAGCTTGTGTACCCTAAAGAGTGTTTCAATAAAAGTGACAATGAAATCAATTCCGATCCTGTCTTTCCTTCGCCAAAGATATCACTTTTAACGCGTTTCCTTATTGTCAACTCAACTTGCTCGTTTATTTGAAAATTCGATTATCGAAAGTAACAAAAGTTTCGATAATCAAAAGCAAATTTAGCCTCTGGTGGCGGACGATCGTACTACACTAACCAAAATGGCTCTCGTGCCGGGATACGAATTGCTGTTTTGGCGCGTAATATATTAGTCACTTTTTCAAAATAATCCGAACGAATTGTCTCGTATTTTCGAAAATGAGTATCCTTGAATATCCGTCAACGCGTCATGTAGTTACTTGCGTCCGTTTCCGTTGATATATCGGAATAATTATGAACGTCTATTTCCGTATGAATTATTAGTGTGCGATAATTACGTTTTCTAGTGCATGTGACGAAGGGAAAATTCGCAAATATGGCACCGCGTTACGAAAAAATAATTTTATGTCGTGGCTTGTCTGAAAAGAATGATTCACAAGAGGCTTACGTAAAAACGTTGAAAACGGCAGGTTATTCGTGCGACTGTTTACCTACTTTACGTTTCGAATTCGTGAATACATCGGAGCTCAGGGAATGCCTTCTGTCATCGTCTTCATACTATGGTAGTAATATTGTATATGATTTTAGTGCCTTATCTTCATTCATCTCATTATCTTCTTCTATGCATTCATAGGGTTGATATTAACAAGCCGACGTGCTGCAGAGGCAATTAAACTTTCTGCAAAGGAAGATGATGACATTCTACATCCCTGGAGAATTTTGCCAGTGTATTGTGTAGGACCAGCAACTGAATCTTTTGTTAAAACTCACTTAAGTTCAGACAACTGTTTTGGTAAAGAAGCTGGCAATGCCAAAGAATTAGCTGAATTGTTAGTGGCTTCTGTTGCAAAGAAATCAAAGCCCTTACTATATCCTTGTAGCGAGATAGGGCTAGAAACAATTGAAAAGACCCTTAATGAAAGTGACATAAATGTCCATAGAATAGTTGCTTATAGAACTCTGCCCAGTGAAACTTTGGAGAGTGATTTATTAAAATTCATGGACAATGTGCCCAAAATATTTGTTTTCTTTAGTCCATCGATAGTAGAACATATAGTAGCTCTATTGAAAAAGAAATTGTACGATATGAACAATATAAAAGCAGTTGCTATTGGACCTGTGACTGAGCAAGCACTAGTCCATGCTGGTCTGAAAGTATTTGCTACTGCGAGCAAACCTGATCCAATATCTCTATTGAAGGCCATTAGTGATGCTGAGAAAAGTGGACTTGATGAAAAGACTGAATGAAGAAATTGTTTATTGTTGTGTTATGTAAGTATATAATTATTGTTAATCTATCGAAATTGTATTTAATTTGTTGATATTATACCACTAAGAAGATAAAAAGTGATAATAGTCATTTTATCCATGGTCCAGAATTACATATTACAAATACGATAATGTGACCTCAATAGATTAAAATATGTCTTTGTTTGTATTTGTCACCTTTACGTAATCTATATATAATCTATTTCTATAGAATATTTGTTGGGATATTTATTTAGTAAATTCAATCAGTTCATAGATTGACAGATATCAGTAAACTTTATTTTGGTTATAATAATAAATATCTTATTTTATTTAACATATTGATTAAAAAAAAATAAGATTACCATTTATTTACAGTACGATGTTATCTAGCTCTTATATGACACTCTATACATTACTATATGCTATAAATTATAACAATGTTTATGTCAAAAAACTGATATAATCAGAAAGATCACTTTCCCATCTATAATAAAGGGAATTATTTGTGAACATAATGAAACTGCGCTACGCAAAATATTAATATTTAAAAATAGTACGTTTTAATATATAGAGTGAAAGAACAAATAGTTCGTAAAATTGTGCGTGTCAGTCTTAACCATTAACACTTTACCAACCGATAACCAATTAATCGGTTTTTTGTCTCCGACGCTTACCGACCGATAGCCTATTAATCGGCTTTTTGTTGCCGACCATCTTTCTCATTATTTGAGCAGTAATTTGTTATTTAGTACTAAGATACCTTCAGCAATGGAGTGTCAGTTGCGTTGCTTTGTAAGCTCTCACAGTTTTATACCAATTTGAAAAACTTACCGTTCGCGATGAACGAAAAAAATGGTATTGGAGAGTCTAAACCGAAACAGAGTCGGCGTCAGGGAGAATCTGTGCCTCAGCTGCCGGTCGGACGTACGTATGCTGCTGAATCGCAAGCGGTCAGTAAAATGTTAATCCAGAATGTAGGATTTTCTGTTATTTCTTACGAAGGTGTATCTGTATGTGAATAATTATTAGAAAATACTGCTTCTTAAAAACATTTATAATACTCGGGACGATTATGTTTCTCATCTCGTATGATCTTGGATGATAGAGCTCGTAATTCGTAACTTCAATATCTACTTCGATTGACTACGTTACCAAGAAGGCACGAAATATCTGCTCCCACAATCGTGGATTGATTAGCGTAATAAGGCTGGGGTGGATTTCCTCCGTTATTATATTTCATTTGGACAGCAGTTTCATAATCAGGTGCTGGTCTATAGGACGGAAGTAAGGCACGTAAGTTGTTGATGTCTGTAGACGACACGGATACAACGGGATACGGTGACGTTGAGAGATCATTGTAACTAGTCCATCTTGTGTGACCCTCTGCATTTCTGTTATCCAAATTTACCGATACCGCATGATCTCCCGAATCGTTCGTGTCGCTGTCCTAAAATATGATACAGAGATTTTACTTGGACGTGTTCTTGGCGCAATGTTGCGCTTGAATGAAATACTACTTACGAAATAACCATTAGTTGATCTCTCCATTGGCCGAGATTCTTGATGTTGCATGTAAAATGTGTGCTGTGCTATACATAAACGCCACACATATTTTGCATTGCGCGATTCGGTAAATATGAATTGCTTTGGCTCCTCGCCTTCGGCTTGACATTCTATTCTAAACGTCTTTTTGTGATTGATCACATTGCTTATATCTTTCCATCTGAAGCATATATAAATCTCCACTATAGTTGCTAATTCAGCATGTAATATATTTTTACGAAATAAATACCTATAGAATTGTGTTGTCTGTGTGTTAGGATAGATGACCATAATCCCATTGACAGATATTCCTAGTATCACTTCATTATTTCCATTGTCCTGTAAGTCAAAGTCCTCAAACTTGTTGTGTTAAAGACTATGCAAACTGTAGGATCAATGTGAATACCTTAGTAGAAAATGTTTCATTTCCATATCCCTCTAGCTGCATAACAATAGAAATGTATAGTTCCTCTGCTGCAGGCTGAGTAACACCAACCAGATTCTTGTATTGACATACAGCAGTATGCAAAAGAGAATCCGGCCCTCCAGGATCTGCTTGAATAACATCCTGAATAATAAAATGAAGTAAGAATCAAATAAGACGTATCTAATAATTCTTTTATTGGTAGCTGTCTTTAATTACCTTGGGAAATAATGTACATTGTTGCAAGCACTCCATTGTATGTCGTTCTGCATCATAGTTACCAAATTCTGCTTGCATCAAGTAACTTGCTAAAAGAGTTGCTTGCCTAGAATTACACTGAAATCTACTTTCCAAAACATCGCTTTTCAATTGAAGATAATAATGATACCTAAAAACATGATATTAAAGAAATAAATGGTAATAGTTGAATGATATCGAAATATTTAAGATATTACATACCTTGTCATTTCATCTTGAATGAGTTGCACATCAGTAACATAGTACATGACCCTCAAATATAGACTGAAATTTTTGGCTTCTTTTTCCAATTGTTTTTTCAATGGTTTGTCCATGTCAACCCATCTTGGAGATGGAGAATCATGCCTCGAAATATAACGTAGACCAAAGAATTCAGGCTGTCCTAATCCTAAACGTTGAGTCACATTGTCCAAACACTCCTGACCAAGGCTATCAATACTCAGTGTGCATTCTATGGAGGTGGTGTCCAACAGTTCTATGCAGATCACATACTGATTTTTGGAGACCACATTATATTGTCGACTTTTCTTCAAATGAAACTTAAACGGCATTGTAATAACGCGTTTAACTGGAAAAAGACAGCATTGGCATAATATTAAACAAAATTATAGAAATTGAATTTTTTTATGTTATTTTTTTATATTCACTGCATTGGATATTGAAAAGTATTTTTCAATGAAAGACTTATGCTGGAGATAACAGTTTAACAATGAAAGAGAAACGAATAAAATACAAAAGAGTGCAGCAACGATGCGCTTTTATTAAGACCGCGAGAGAAAAATAAGTACCGTATAACTACGACCAAACACCGAAATGCTTCACATTCCACGGTACTTTTACTTTTAATTGAAATATATATGCATACACGTACTGTATACATTCCACTCTGTCGAGCATGAGAAATGTATAATTTTTCACGTTTAATAAATCGAAAGCATTTCTAACCTCGTTTTTCACGTCATTAATGCTAGTTACAAAACTGTGGTATATATACAGTTCCTAAACCGAGCTACTATGGCACGAGAAATTAAAACGATGGATTTCTCAGTTAAAACAAATTGAAGATAGCATCAGAAATTTCATAAGAAATACATCAAATGCGTAAAACGCATAAAATTAACATATAGATTATGAATAAAAGTAGTTTTATCGAAAGTGATATGTTCTCCAAATATTTTCCAACTAGATTGGTCATATTTTTGATATCTAGGTGAAAAACACGATCAATGTTATATTTTTTATTAGAAAGTCAGTCAAATTTAGGCTGAAATTGTTGGAAGTTGTTTACATTATGGATAAATCGATATATTAAATCGAAAACTTATACACTAGTGTAAAATTCTACTGATCTTCACTAGAAATAAATATCACTAGGTCTAGTTACCGAAAAAATTCCCTAAACATCTCATTATGCAAGTAACTCAAATTCCTTGGACGTAATATGTACACGATGACTAATGGTCTTATCAAAATTAATCGCTTGCCTTTTATTGCAAATCCTGTTATCGCGTTGGATCGAATAAAATTACGAGTCCCGTGATAAGCGGAACGTGACGCGTGCAAAATTCCACTTGGTAAAGTTTTTGCGTCTTACCTGCGTGTCTTATTTGCAATAATCAAAATTTCCACTACATGGAATAAACAAATGACTACGAAATTTTAATATAATAAATATATTTTGTAACAATTAACAAATTATTATTGTTATACAGAATACAACATTCATCTAAAATAATATAGGAATCAACTTTTTCGAAAACGTACTTTATAAAACACTTTCCGATCAACTAGACAGTTTATTTTCTTCGACTTATCTCTTTTAAATGGAATAAAATTGCGTGGCCGTAGAAGATTGCATTTCTATTTGCCCCATCTTGAACTGTAATCGATGCAACCATCGTAAGAGCGTGGCATTTGATTCTCGACGAGAGGAGGCAAAGTGTTCGGACATTTTGTTGGGTGGAAAGTCTCGACAATTTTGCAAACGCACTTGTAAATGTCCTGGTAGCTAATTATATATAAATTTTTCATGTAAAGATCATCTTTCAAAAACGGAATTATTGGAACTGAAAACGAGCCGCTTTAATGATTCGTCTCACCTGAACATGATGCGAATGTAGTATGGGACTCCAAAGGGGTAACAATTTACTTAACAGGATGGACCCACACTCAAGAAGAGCCTCGAGTAGACTCAGGAAATGCAAATTCACCATCTCAGCCAACTATAAAGGCAATTTTTTATTTGAGAAAGGAGGAGCTCTACTTCTGAGGACTTTTATGAACTTACTACTTTTGAGAATTGAATCAATTCCAATATACAGGGCGTTATCTTGCCCCAGAACTCCAATAAAATATTCATCGTAATATTATGGCCCTCGCTATTCGATGGATTGTTTTTCGACAACTCTTCCAAATACATTGTCCACAACTAAATACAAACAACAACGATACTGTCAAATTGTATCCATAGATGTTAATTAATATACACAGGTACGTACTTGACACAATATGAAAGCATGAAACAACGAAGACATGTGTAAGACCGATGCTTTAGATTGTTCTGGGAATCCAGAAAATATGACTTGCACGTGATCTGCAACATGGCAAGATACTTCCTGCGGTATCGGTTGGGCAGATGGAATCGATGGCCCGTGGGTGTGCGTATTATTATTGCCAGCATACATTGCAGTGTGCGTGAGAGAGCCTAATAAGAGCCAGGATAGTAATCTGATGTGTCCTATACAGTCTACGTACTCTCGAGCTCTGAAAATGACATTAACTTCAGCGTTGGTGAAGTTATCTTAGTAATTAATCTTTAATTACCCTTGCTGTATCATCGAAGGTGCGCTATAGAGCCATGGAAGATATCGAGCGACAGCTCTGTTCTCTATATTATTGCCTCTAGTAATTTCTATCGCTACATATTGCGCGAGACCACATTTCAATATACCACCCAATGTATCCTCGTTTAGTCCAGCCTGCATTCCCTTGCTGTAGCTCTACATCATCGGAAAATTCATTTAAAAATTATTAGTCTCGTTATTTGTCGTGGGTAGGACTATTATTTAATGTTATTTCGACTACCTTCACTTTACTCAAAGTGTGAAAGTCTGCCAAGAAATCGAGCACATCTGACAGCTGATTCTTCAGTGACTCGGAGGCGTTCGTATTGTAAATTGGCGATACGTCCGTTTGGACGTTCTCCAAAGCGATCGTGTTAGGTAACGAGCCTCCAATGTCCTAATCATATTGAACCATAAATTATCCGATCATTATTTTTTAACAACCTTTCCCCTTACCTGAAGCACGAAGTGCAGAAGCAACAGAAAATTCGAATCCGGTATCGTGGTTTTGAATTTGATGGCTTGAATTAATTCGAACACGATGGTTCTTCCAAAGAAGTGTTTGTCTCTGTCTCTAGTGAAGGCTCTGTGACAGAGGTAGCACAGATCCGTCAGGTAACTATACTTTATAGTAGAATTCTGAATGGCGTAGCTCAATACCTTGGCAAAGGGATCCAGCATGCCCTGTAAAAGTATCCCAACTAGATATTTTTCCAACAAAGATCTATAAAGCATTAAAAAAAATTCCTTCCTGGGCCATTGTCTAACCATGACCTGGTCAGGTGAAAAAATTGATATTTTTTTGAATGAAAACACGAGTCTCCAAATAATTTAGCTAAACCAGACCCAAGATCATAAAACAGAAACTCGCTGTAAAACCGTATCATAAATCTGTCTCGAACGAGCATCAAACGATCTCTTAGTCATCGAAAATTCCCGATTATTGCATCGGTCAGCCAGAAGGAATAAATCCTCCGGCACATTTACGTCTTCCCTATAGCGACGACGATCGTGCCACAACGATAATAATCGCGAACATCCACGGACAGGTTATTTACGAGCGGCGAACAGCTGACCTTCGACTGTTGAATGCTCGGGACCTTCAATAAAGAAATCATGATCCTTAATAACGAAGTGGTGTCTTCGATGGATGAGAGCATCAGCACCAGCCTACGGAACAGGCCATCGAACTGCGTCAGAAGACCGCTCCAGGTTGCTGCACCTGGACCCAGACCTGCTTCTAGCGGCAGACAGTCCAGGTAGCACGCTATGTTGTATAGTATTATCGGCAGGCGCTCCATTGGCAGAGATTTCTTTGCGTTTAGAGCCTGAAATATGAGGATACGATCATTCGTGATCATTATAGGTTGATAGCGATCAGTGGCAATTCTTATTGATCGTAACAAGCACTCATATCTGGATATATGTTTCGTAAAAGATTGTCTTATCGATATTTTACTCTCAATCTCCTTTTGTGAATTTTATGACCAAGGTGCGATTTCTTGCATAAATTGTGTTAGTCATGACGTTTATAGCAAACTTGCAGACTTGAAATACGCATAAAAGTACCTCGAGCAATAATTGCAGAGGTGCTATCGGGTTTAATTCGTTGAAGTCGACCAAGGCCTGAGTAACACTCTTGAAGAACTGCATTCTTGTAGATTCTGGAAAATGAAGTGGGTTGTCATAGGTTCCATAGAAGAGGTTGTAAAATCTTCGCACCATTTAAATGCGTTTGGAACATCTGCAAGAAAACTCCATTAGGCGCCAGTTGATGTAGAACACAACGGAGGAATTGATGCGCAACGCTGATTGCGCCACCGGGCAAATGCATGTTGGTCTCGCTTTGCCAAGGGTACATCGCATTGAGGGCCACCCTGCAAACGAAGATATATCATCGAGACACGTTTTTGCAGTGTTATGTTATTTGGAAATAGAACGGCAAAATAAAATTCGAGTCAGACTTTGTCACGACACGTAGGATTTCTGGCAAGAGCGGAGCTGCCAAGGATGGTTCACGATGGATGAACGTGCCTAGGTTGATGATGCATAAACCGAGTTCCTCGTCAGAATATTCCTCCTTTATCGTCCCACATTCCGAACACCTACGACAAATGTAGAAACCAAATTGTGCATCATGCAAAAATAAACATTTATTATTAACACCAAACTAAAAGCTACCTCTCGTAAATGCAGTCGTCTCCGATGCGGAATAAACTTTGCTTCAAGCTAAAATCAGCGTGGTAGGCTTGTTGGGATGCGACATCGAAGTTAGGTTGCAGTTGAGCACCAGACCTATGAACGATAAAAGAAGATCGTAATGTACGATCTTAAATCACGAATAAAAGTGTTAGGAGTGTCTTCTAAAGTTTACCAAGAGTCTGTACGTCTGGATAATGGGCCATCGTGTCCACTGATACTATCCTTTCGAGGCCTGTCTCGTTGAATACGAACGTGATCCTTTACTCTACCTCTTCGATCAGGATCGAACACTCGAGAAGGGTAATCTGAGGATTCCATCGCTGGAGGCGGTGATTCTAGAGCTACCTGCTTGGTCAGTCTTCTCGGACTCGCTGATCTACTTGAGTGTATCTCGTTCGACGTTGGAACTAGAGATGCCGACTGAAAAATCGGCATTTCTTATTTTTTGTGTAGATAGTAGAACTTGCGAAATGAAAAGTACTTTTTACCATATTCTCAGACGTTGTGCTATCTTGCTTCACCGGCGGCTGTGCTTCGCCTTTACCATTTTCATTGTTATTGCTAAATCTATTGGAATCTGACAAATTTGACAGGGTATTATTATCAATTTAAAAATTATACTGACTTTTTCTATTGAATAATACAATTTTACTACCGATTTCTTGGACACCGAGCGCCTGACGAACGTGCTCAACCAAGCCACTGAAGTCTCTGTGAGGTCCGATAGGTAACAATCGTTCAGGCATAGGAAATTCCAACTGCGATATGCTTCTAGGACTCGTTACGTCGCTGGACATACACGTTTCACTATCCTGATCGAACGAGGAGCCTGAAAAAGTTATTTCATTTCTTTCTCATTCGACATTGTGTTTTTTTCTATATCTTCGAAATAGTAGCTAGAATTGTGAAACAGTATAGCATTTGGAAATCTATAAATACTCACTGACTGTTAACACATCCATCTTGGACAAAGGTGATTCAGGCGAACCGTAAGTATCCTCGCAACGTAGAATTCGTTGACCTACGCTTGGCCGTGGAACTATAAAATTATCGAATCGATGAAAATTCCATTTGTCTTTTGTTAACAAAGATACTTACCAACTGGACGAATGGTAGTTCCAATTGGTAGAAGTCTTTCAACCGTTGGCGTGGTTAAGGGATAGGGAGACCCGTGCCAGCTCGGCTGCTGGCCATTGTCGGTGCTCGTGACTTGTGAAGATACCGAACTGACTGCTGGAGAGCTCGA